TGGCCTTCTCTAGTAACAAATGGTTTCAGATGGAGTAGCCGTTTTATTTCGTAGTCATGTTGCTCTAAGTAAACCACATTATCAAACATTTTTGTGGTTTTTTTTTATATAGATACCAATCTATTAAAAAATTGCCTGAACCCTTCTCACATGTTTTCAGAAAGTCCTTATGTGGGAAGGATGTTTAGCCATATTCTCATCTATCACAGACTTAGGCATAAAATGAAAATTTGAAAAGAAAACTTTATTTCAAGCACCCAAAAAAGTGACTTGATTTTCACAAGGGCCTCACTCTCAGCAGCTTGCCAAAGGGCCAACATGAGTGCAGCAGGGATGGTCTTTACCCATGACTGTGCCTTTGCCAGTCTTCATTTCTAGTGTTCGATAGTTTTCATTGTGGGATTAAATGGCATTTAATAAAACTCCAAACATAAAAATGGTGATTTACTCCCTCCCTGTGAGCAGAGCTAGTTAATTTCAATTCATGATACACAGAAGACACATATTTAATGTTGCTATCTCTGATCTCTCCACATTTTGTACTCCTTCTGCTGTCCAACTGATGCTTGTCACTGAATATTTCCATGGAAGAGTGGGAAAAACAATTTCAGGTACAAGTCAACTTTCTGACAGTAGTTCATGAAGCCCTAAGTTTTTCACCTTTGAAATCTCTTTTCCTATGTGAATGCTGAAGTGTGCATCATGTCCTGTCACCCAGATGCAAAACACCAGTTTAGCATCTCAGCCACATAACTGGCATGTCTCCCTCAAGGAAACAATGTCCCTCAACGACAACACTGATTTTTAGAAGGATGCACATTGCACAAAGGTAGGAAGTGTTGATCACAGGATTAGCACTATCCTAAAACTACATCATCCTGAGCAGCTGGGATTCCCAAAGCTGCCTCATGGTGTGACCATCTCCAACACTCCCAGATTCCTGCATCTATATTGATTACTCATCCAAATAAACCAACTTTCACATTTAATTAGAGCTCACCAGGTAAAGATTTCTCTCCAAATGAAAATACTGATGTTGCAAGAAAAAAAAAAAACAAAAAAAAAAAACAAAAAAAACCCCAACAACAACAACAACAAAAAAAAAAAA